TGTCTAGCGTTAACAAAATTCAAATCAAAATGCAATAAATATCGTTTTTCGTTGTTTGTTTTTTTAAATATAAACTTGAAACATTTATTCATGGAAAGTTATGTGATAATTCAGCACTCTCAACCTGAGGAAAGCGAAAGTCAGGCGCTGTGATAAGCCTAGGTCTTCAATATTGTTGAAGAACACCCCATGCATTGGCTTATCCTTGTGTTGCCGCGGAAGTGAAGTAATCCCTGCGACTTTTACATGAGATTTTGCTGAACGGGTTCCACCTCGGTGACAGAGTTGAGATCACCTCGTTCAGTGTCGGAAAGTAAACCGCTTTCACCAGCTGCTCGGGCAGCTGCCCTAAAGAGAAATGTTCCAATTCCTGCTCTCTCATGGTGACGGACCATGCAGAGAAGGGGATCTGAACTCCTGACAGGCTATATCCAGTACCATTCTGTCATGTAGACACTCCAAACTCAAAAGTCCACTGCCTCTCTGTACAACCGTGGAATGGACGATTTGGGATGCAAACTCCTATAGAGATGCATCATTAACTTCAACTAGCGTTTCCTAATATGACTGATAACCGGTCCGTGCAGAGCTTATTGTTAAAACATCTGAAAATGGAAGTTTCAACAGTACTGCCAAACATATATTGTATTGCAAAACATGCGCCAAACTAACTGACTATAATAAGAAAACAAGTATAGCCGAGGTACTAGTCAATCTAATAATAATACTGATGATCTTCAAACATGACTCAACCTCTGACGGAAGCACCAAACTCTTACGAAGGTTCGAAATAGATGAACACTTCAATCTAGCAGACCACTATTATAATCTTCATGCAGTCATTATTCACTGTGGTTCTGGCGTTGAATCTGGTCATTATTCATTGGTCAAAGACGAAACGGACTGGTTCTAGTTTAACGATAGTCGTGTCACTGAGAGGCCTGGCGATATCTTGAATTTATTGGAGCCTCTGGAGACAACCTAAATTTTGTTTTATGGAATACAGGACATTAGCAGATCAAGATCTTCAGATGATGTGGTGCTGCAGGTTTTTCAGGGTTTTTCTGCAGCAGAAAAAGAAAATGGAGCACCAATTAATTTTTTTGTTGTTTTTTCATAATTTCATGATTTGTATTAATCTCAAAATACTCCAATAGTAACGACGCCCATGTTCGAAAGCTTGACATGTGTTACTGACCCTTCGTATCACATTACCATAAATCCATGAAAAGTTATAAATACATGTTTTAATGGGACATGCACCTACACGGAGTTGAACCTCTAAATATCAGGTAGGAGAGTAATGAAGGAAAGTTTACATGAATTTAAAATGTTATATTGAAAATGTTCATAATTTAAGAATATACACTTGATGCATATATTCGAGAAAATGCATTATACGGTGAATATGATTGATAAGTCTCCTAGAGACGTGCGAAATATGAAAAAGGGTTTCAATTTTTGGCAGGAGAGGAAGTTGATCAAGAAAGAAATGGAACTTGAACGTGATATATCGACCAGCTGTCGTGCTGGTCAGCTAAACTACCTGAAGTACCTGTATTGAGGCATTTGGGCCGTATAAAAGGACACACAGGATGACACGTTCAGATAGATATTCAGTTGAAAGGGGAAGGGAGCCAGGCTTCAACCTGAATAAAATCAAGATGGTTAACGTCGACGTTCAGATAGAGTAGGGCCTAGAGGATGACAGCAAGACTAGCTGTCGAAAGCGCTCTCAGATAATTAAACAGAAGTTATAGAGCTTCAAATCCTTTTTGTTTTTTGTAACTTACATTTACAGTAAAATACTGAAAATAACGGAAAATTAATTCCGGGTGTTCATCCGTTGTGTACTATTCAATAGTCGACGTTTCGCCATCATCTCAGATGGCATTATCAAGACGAGTTACTGCTTCGCTTCGAGAGGTGTAACTGTTTATTCACAGAACTGGTCTGGTTGATTACATTCTCATATTTGATGAGGTCAACAAATGTAGTATTACTTTACTGAAGTCAGTAAATGTTGAGAAGATTTCAAATTTTCATATCATTTTGAATTCAGAAAGAATAATTTTCATTTCGTTGTAATAATCCTTCCTCAACAGCTGAATGGTTTCTTTGGAAACTTACTTTCCACCCATTACACTTCTCATTCGCTTTAACAACTTTTGATATAAACTTGATACTTTAAAGATATTCTGTAAACGAAAAATAATTGCATTATTCGCAACAAAGGGAGAGCTCATTATCTTGAAAAATATATTGATGAACTTCTCCATGTAACAAAACTGTTGTGGATGATTAAATGAAGAACTGCCTTCGGGATCATCCCCAAAAACAAGATGAGTTCAACCAGAGTGGATCTTAATAGGGCTTCGCTCGAAGAGCAATAATTTTTAATTCAGTAGAGGAGTTAAAAATGGAGTAGATAATTGTTTTAGTCATTTAATATTCATTATTGAATTGAAAGTGAAATATATCAGTATATTTTGTCCAAATTTGGTATCATCAGTACAGGGGCAGATCCAGAAACTACCACTGTGTGGGAGCCCAACAAAACATTTGTAAGATCCTAAAATCTGTTTTACCATCAACCAGTTGTCTTTCCCTTACGAACGACCAATCTGTTTTACCACTAACCAGTTGTCTTTCCCTTACGAACGACCAATCTCAGAAGTCGAACCTGGTACGACCTGAGGAATAACGAGGTTTTACATACGATTTATAGTACGGAGCTGCAGGCACATTTTTCTAATGATTTTTTTAAATTGATTTCGAAAATATTACCTTTCGTAAAAAAATATTTTTTGTTGAGATTATCAATGAATTCGTACACATGAACGGTTATAGTAAAACCCTCGTTTTTCAATTGAATTCAAAGAACGAAACGAATTTGTAAAATAAGGAATAACTACGATAATACCGAAACTTCTGTTGAATCACTCATAAATTTCAGATGATTGACAGAAATTGCTATTTTTCAGAGTACTGTTATCCTTGAAATATTTTTGGGAAATCAGTGATGATTATTGTGTACCAGTGACCCGCCTCGGCTCCGCACGGATGCAATGCTGATACTAAATATAAATTCACCCACCGGAAATTTAAGGGCATGGAAAAACAGTGGGGCTCCCTAGAGGGAGCCCCAGTTGGAAAATAGAAAAATAGTTTTTTATTGCACATTTATAACATAAGACAAACCTATGCATACAAAATCTTAGCATCCGAAAATATAGTCATTATCATATGTAAACGCGTCCATTCTACCTCTACGGGGGCGTCCCAGTTGGAATATTTGAAAATCCTTCCTCAATGCGCATCTAAGACCTAAGAGTAGCATGAAAACAATTGAGGGATATCAGATCTGGTGATTTTGCAGGCCATCCTGCTGCTTCAATTCAAACATTTGATAACCTCCCATTCAATTAGATTTATGACGCAGCTCGTTGATAAGAGGGCATCTCTTTTGCAGGAGGAGAAAATCACATATGCAAATATATTTTCTTTTGTTGATCTGACAAGTAAATACACTTGAGGATGATAAACTTTGCCTTTTTTCGTATCTCGTGGACTGTGGGTGCAGCCACGTGAAAATTGAATGTTACACCCTCGAGACTCATTCAATTTTTATTTTCGTTCATTGTCAACTGGCATAAAAAAGTTGAATGAATCAATACATAGGCCTAAATACATTTCTCAATATTTATAATAAGATTAGGAATCACACGTTGAAAGGTTAGACCTCGTTAGTCCTTAGCTGAGAGTTATCGTTCGTAGAATGGCGACAGCTGGTTAACGGAAAAACAGATTTTACCAGAACAAAACTTATGGTGTTATTGAAAATTACTTGAAAGTCATTCAAAAACAATTCAGGTAATTATTGAGGAAAAATTCAATTCTACACGAAAATGAAGTAAGGTTTCATTTCCTATAAATGTAGGGCCAGAATGCATTTCCTCTGATTTTTCAAAGCGAAAAACAAAGGAAGAAAAATTTTGATCACTTTGTATTCGAATGAACTTTGGTGAGTGGTGGTAAAAAAACGGACAAGGAATCGGAAGTATGTAACAAAACATGAAAGAATAAAAAAAAACTTGTTTCGACGGCAATTGAGCTTCAAAATGAAATAAACAAATATGAAACTGCTCGTATACACATTGATTTTGTTTGTATTGTAACGAATCTGAAGCCGGCCCTGACCGATATCTCAGCCAACGACACAGTAAGACAGTGAGTGTTGTAAATAAATTAGTTTTTGTGTAAAATATTGATGGAAATGAATTTGTTTAAGACAGTGAATTCTTTAAATTGTTACAATATACTCAATAATTTTGCTCATATACTCAATATACTCGTATACTCAATATGCTCGTATACTCAATATGCTCGTATGCTCTTATGTATGCTTAATATACTCGTATGATCGTTTGTATGCTCAATAAACAGGTTTTTTGTGCAGTACACAGGTGTTCACTGGTCTCACTTATATTCTCTTATTCTAAGGACATTGTGAATGAAGTGAAGTGAATTTAATATCATTGGAATCCGGTAGAAGAGCTTCATCGGATGATATATTAGCATTCAAGAAATCCATATTAATAAAGATTCAGTGAGAAATCATTGATATTTAGCCATAGAAAATCAAGCAACAAAAAGCTTGCTCTTTTTGTGCGCGTTAGCGGAATGATAAGTAAAAACAACATCGTGAGTGAAGAAGTTCATCAGTACGGGAACTTTGGGTAAAATTTTTCAATCTAAATGGATTGCTCCAAGTGTTCAATCCTTATACAGAGTGAAGATGAATATATACAGTGTGATAGCTGCGGCACCCCGTTTCATCTTAGTGAAAAATGCTCAGGATTGTGCCCAAGCGAGATAAAGGCTATAGTAGTGCAGAGGAAAGTGATATTTTTTTTTTGCAATGAATGTAAATCGTCTTTCAAAAAAGTACCCCATAATTGGAAAATGAAATAAGTCGTCTGAAATAAGAAGTCCAAGATATGAAGAAGAAACACTGTGATGAACTTAGTCTGCTGAGACGGGAATTGAATGATGTGAAAACCATAAGTAGTGCTGGCATGGAAAATATACTTACTGAGGTTCATGAACGCGCAATACGTTCAAATAATCTGATGCTGTTCAATGTTGAAGAATCGAAGGCTGAAGGTATAGAAGCTGACGACAAAAAAATTGCTATTCAAGTACTTGAATCTATTGACGTTGACAGCAATGATCTAACTAAAGTGATCCGCATAGGTCGACAAGGTAATAAACCCAGGCCTATCAAGATTATGTTGTCAAACTCAAATGCAGTTGGTCATGCTCTGAAACTCAAAAATAGATTGCTTAATACAAAATTCAGAATCGCTTCAGACAGAACCAAAATACAGCAAGAACAAATGAAAAAAGTACAGGATGAGTTAAAGCAACGCCGGGATTGAGGTGAGCAAAATCTCACTATTGAATATAGGAAAGGCATTTCGATAATTGAAGAATTGAAACACTAAGATATAACTCTCACCACACGTTGGAAATATATTATCAAAATGTTGGTGGTTTAAGAACTAGACTCGATGAATTTGAATACTCTGTCCTGTGCTGTAATTATGATGTTATTATTTTAACTGAAACATGGTTAACTAGCTCCTACTATGTTTCAGAAATTGGTTTAAACGACTATAATATTTTTAGAACTGATCGAAATGAGAACACAAGTAACAAGTCTCGAGGTGGCGGTGTGATGATGTGCTTCAAAAAAGAACTAAACGTAAAAGTACTGGATGTAATTAGTACAAATGTTGAACATTTATTCATTTTTCCAAAGAACAAAAGCGCAAATGTGATTTTTGGACCTATCTACATACCTCCTGGTCCAAACTCCGATATCTATATAGATCATTGTATTACTGTCGAACAAATATCTGAGAAAGTCAGTGCATCTTAATGTTATCTCTTTGGTGATTATAACTGACCATTGGCTACGTGGGAATCTTAGGAAGAACATGGACTTAGCGTTCGCTGCCCTCAAGGATATCCAGCTCATGTTCTATGTGATCATTTTTCTTTTCTTAATTTTAAACAACTTAATTTTATTCCTAATAGTCATAATGTTTATTCAGATCTAATTTTTTCACAAAATATTTTTGTTCATGTTCAAGAGGCCACTGACCTACTATTACCTAACAATTTTCATCATAAAGCCATTACTGCCAAATCAGAACTATCAGTTAATTTTGAACCCCTTCTATTTGAGGAGTTTAACTAGGATTTTAAGAATACAGACTATGTAGGCTAAAATAATTATTTTGCACCAATAATCTGGGAACTTCTATTCAATAACTCAGATATTCATACTATAGTTGATATATTTTACCAAATTATTAAGAACTCTTTTGCAATCTTCATTCCTAGGAAGAAAAGTAAACCAACAACTTATCCAAAATGGTATAGCAAAGAGCTGAAGTTACTCATAACTGAGAAAAAGATAGCTCACACAAATTATAAATCAACTCGTTCAGACCAGGATTACCTAATATTTTCCAATGAGGTCTCAATGCAAGGACCCTATGAAATTTTCCTATGATACTTATATAGCTAATATTGATGACCAAATAATCAGCAACTTAAAATATTTTATCGGAATTATATAAACTCAATAAGAAAAAAAAAAAAATCGAATAGCTAATACACTAATACAGGGGAAAATATTGTTGATCTTTTTGCCGAAAAATTTTTAAGGTTCTATACTAGAAAAGAATTGGATTTAGATAATGTCATGAACTGAGCAGTTGCAGCAGTGGTTGACATTCCGTTTATAACATGTAGTAATGTTGAATTATTCGAAGGGTTGAACTCATTAAAGGGAAATTTGAGTTGTGGACCGGACGGGATCCCTGCCTATTTCCTTAAAAGATGTGTCTACTCGCAAACTAAGCCATTGTACATAATATTCAACTTATCAATGAAGCTTGGAATATTTCCCTGCCAATGAAAGAATAGTTATGTCACCCTCATTTTCAAAAGTGGCAAAAAGGAAGACATAAAAAACTACCGTCCAATCAACAAACTTCCAGCTATTTCAAAACTTTTCGAATATTTACTTGTGCACTATGTTGCATTGCAAAAATATGCTAAATGAAAATCAACATAGATTTGCTGCAGATCAACAACATCCAATTTATTGGTATATTAACAAGACCCTAGAAAAAGGCCTTCAAATTGATGCAATTTACACTGATTTCAGTAAGGCCTTTGATAGAGTCAACCAAAGTTTGTTGATTAGTAAACTTCAAGTAACAGGTTTTCCAACTTGGTTAACATGTTGGTTAAACAGTTATTTATCTGATAGGAAACAGCGGGTAGAAATTCAAAACCACATTTCCAGTGATATTCAGGTCACATCAGGCGTTCCGCAGGGATCGCATCTGGGTCCATTTCTCTTTAATATTTTGATTAATGATATAGCTCTAAACTTTCGCCACTGTAAATATCTTCTCTTCGCTGATGACCTCAAAATTTATATGCAAATCAAAACCAACCTTGACTGTAAATGTCTTCAATCTGATCTGAACGAATTGATCAACTGGTCACAAAATAATGAAATGTCTCTGAATATTGATAAGTGGTATTGTATTTCATTTTCTAGGTCCAAAAATCCTATTCAATTTGATTATCAAATTGAAAACAGTCTTAAACGGGTTTTTGAAATTCGCGATTTAGGAGTCATATTT